CTCACTTTGGCTGAGGCTGGCCTCCACCTTGCGATCCTCCTGCCTCAGCCTCCCAAGCCACTGGGATGACAGCCGTGCGCCTGGCCGTATTTCACGGTTCCTTATGAGCAGTGTTCTCCTTTATGAATTTCTCGATACACTTAAATGACGATATGCTCTTTAACCCTGGAGTTTAATTTAGACACATGCGTTTCGGATCATGATTTCCTCCTCCATCAATTCAATCTTCTTTTGCTTTTTATTCTTCATGCATTGACCATTTCAGATCCACAGGCTAATCTGGCCGTACTGTTTTGGCGGGGAGTGTGTTTCTGTCCTTCCCAGGAACTGGAGAGCAGGGTGGAGATTCCTCAGAAAACTGGGAATGGAACCACCATGGGACCCAGCCATCCCACTCCTCGGTTTCTACCCAAAGGACTTAACAGCACAGGACGGGGACACAGCCACATCAGTGTGCCCAGCAGCTCAGTTCACAACTGGAGCCAACCTAGGTGTCCTTCAACAGGGGATGGATAAAGAAACTGGTCCATATACACAGTGGAATATTACGCAGCCTTAAAGAAGAGTGAAATAGTGGCATTTGCTGGTCAATGGATGGAGCTGGAGACGATCGTGCTGAGTGGAATCAGCCAGTCCCCAAAACCAAAGGCGGAGTGTCCTCTCTGATATGGGGACGCTGACCCACAATGGGGATGGGGATGGCAGTTCACTGGATGAGACGCAGGGGAGTGGAGGGAAGGGAGGGGAGGGGACTGGGAGAGACAGGGGAATGGATGGACGTCCCTTTCCCACGTTCACATAGGAACCCACGACCAGGGACACCCCGCAGCAGGTCCAGCCACAGGAGTGGGATGTCACCCATTTTTTGTTTTTGGTCCCAGGGATTGAACCCAGGGGTGCTTAACCACCGAGCCTCATCCCCAGCCCTTCTCCTTTTGTATTTTGAGACAGAGTCTTGCAAAGTTGCTTAGGGCTCTGCTAAGTTGCTGAGGCTGGCCTCCACCTTGTGGATCCTCCCGCCTCAGCCTCCTGAGCCACTGAGACGACAGGCGTGGGCCACCATGCCCGGCTGAAAAACACGAATTGCTTCTGGGTCACGTCCAAACTTGTCATGCTGACACTGGAGATCCTGTACTATCCGATCGTCACCTACCTGCCTAGGATCCACCAAATCACCTGGGCCACAGAGTTTCAAGTCGACCCCAGGGTAAATGAAGCCATACAGTTGTATGAATTAAATTTAAAAATGTCTTCACTGCGTAAATTCTCATTTTACGGTCTCTGTTTTCATCTTGCCATCCATAGCCACTTTTTCCTAGCTAAACTGTGGAACCAACCTAGGTGCCCTTCAACAGGTGGATGGATAAAGAGAATGTGGTCTATATACACAGTGGAATATTACTCAGCCGTCAAGAAGAATGAAATGACGGCATTTGCTGATAAATGAATGGAGCTGGAGAAGGGTCTACTTACTTTGTCCAGAATAACCAAGAATGTCGTTTCTCTTCCCCTTCTGTCCCTTTAGCCTCCTGATACTCCATCTACTGCCCTGTGATGCCACCTTATGCTCATGTCCCTTCCTTTGACTGAAACCCACTCTCCTCTATACCTCTGCTCCGGCCAACCCTATTTCTCCTGAGGATTTATCCTGCAAGACTCGTGTGAGATCATCTCCCATGATACACACCGCGGGGGAGAGGGCTGAGGACACATTTCACAAGCCCATTTGACACAGATGGCGCACGCCTGTCATCCCAGCGACTCAGGAGGCCGAGGCAGGAGGATCGCAAGTTGGAGGCCAGCCTCAGCCACTCAGCGAGGCCCTGAGCCACTCAGCGAGACCCTGTCTCTCAATAAAATCGAAAAAGGGGCTGGGGACGGGGCTCAGAGGGTGAGCACCCCTGGGTTCCATTCCTGGTACCCACCTACCCCCCCAAAAAACAGAAGCAAACTGGACCTCTGGGTTCTAAGTCTGGTCCTTGGCTGTGGCCTTGGCCCTGAGTCCTCCCAATCCAAGAGGCCCGGATGGGTGGTCACCTGCACATGGTCATCAGGGCCAGCTTCTCTTTAGTGCTGATCGGACCCCCCCAGGTCCCCCTGCGCAGAGCAGCCAGCGCA